GACGGATAGTGCCTCAAAGCTTTCTATTCGTTTCCTATGGAGAGCTGGAGAGGCAGTTGCGCAATGCATTATGGGATTTTTGCAGCTCGTTTCGAGAAGGGCTCCGGCGCGCTCGCCAGAGGTCTATTCTATGCAAATGAGTCCAGCAATGCACGTTTATCCATTCAGATGCATTCATTGAGGCTACTTCACTTATTGCGTAACCTACAGCAAAAAGGAGGGAAAACGAAACAAAAACATATGCTCGCTGCCATAAAATGGGTATACGTCCATCAAGTGGCTAGTTGAGTGCTCAGGCGTGGTCCCTAGTGTCCTGGCCTGAAGCAGTGGAGCCTTAACGTCAGGGTTAATCAACTTTCACAACCATAAGTCTGTAATCAGCAGATCACTGATTCGGCATACTATACACACTCAGAGGATATAGGGCCACAGTTTCACAGAAAAGGCTGTGATTAACCCAGCAGTAGGCCTTTCTGTGTACTATAGTTATACCAGGAAGTTTAAGTTACTACCATGAATGGGGTTTAAAATGGCTTAATCAGTTGAAGGTAATGGAGTTCTGGAGTAAGGTAAGCAAGCCTATAGATAAGAACACCTGGGTTAATTTTCATCCATTTGATTAAGAACATGAACAACAGGTGTGATGGTGCTCACAAAAAACCTGTAAAGAAATGAAAACGCCATTACTGGTGCGGATCTAGAGACAAAGCGATGGTGATTGCAAAAATAATTTGTTCAAAAAACTTTAGTTAGTATGAAAAAAAAACTTAAACAAGTTGTGTAAAAAGCATCAAATAATGAATAGTAAAAGCCATACTGGTGACGCAGTGGTTGGTGCGCACGCCCCATGTATGTAGGCTGTGGTCTTCCGGGCAGGCAGCCCGGGTTCGGGACCCGCTTGTGGCTCCTTTCCCGCATGTTGTTTCCCCCTCTCTCTCCCTGTTTTTCAGCTCTGTCCACTCTACTGTCTCTCCATTAAAGGCACATAAACCCAAAAATAAATCTTTAAACCAAAGCCATACTATTGCTGATGAACAAAAGGAAAATATTTTACATTGAATTCAAGGCAAAACAGGAGTGAGTGTGTAGTTTCCACATCTGTTACAGTATCCCTGAGAGACTCCACCTTTCAGCACAGAGCAAAAAAAGATAACCGTGCATGGACGGTTAGCCAAAGAATTTCATCGCATAAAGGGAATAAAAGAAAGAAAATGAAATGAAAATAAGAGTTCTGCAGGTGTGAGTGGATATGATGTTGGAAGAGAAGGTACAGCAATAAGGCAGTTTGTGATTACCATTGGAAACTATTTGAGGATATATATTTTTGTGTCAATTGGCTATTCTATATCTTGTGAGTATTTGTATCACCATAGCCTAAAACTAAAAGATTTTAAATTTTGTATGTAATAATCATTGTCAAAGGAAAAATAAGACAAAAATAAGCCAAATAAGATGAATATCTAAATGCATCTGTTCTAGTTTAAGTGATGCAATGTTGAAGCATCTCTGTATCTTCCTATAATCTTCTGGTAGTTGAGCAGCACTGCTGTAGTAATGTTCAGGCCTCTGTAATGCATATTGATCTTCATTTTAATTTTCAAAATAGTCCATGCTTCTTCACTGTCTATGTGCAGCTGTGGCTGAATTGGAAGAGTCAATTGTCTCAACCAGAAGGTTGGGGGTTTGAGCCCTAGGTCTTGCAGCAACATGACTGATGTGTTGGGCAAACTTACAAAATCATTAGGAGATCAAATAATTATTTCCCCCACTATACTTCACAAACACTACCAGGCAAAAGTTAAACCTGCCACTTTGAAATACTAAATTGATTTTAAATTGAGTCCTAGAGTAGCACTAATCCTCCCTCTTGTATTCCGCCTGATTTAATCCAGAACAGGCTAAATCTATAACTATTTGAAGAGAAGTCTATGCAAGTCACTTTGGGTTGAAAGACAAAAAACCCTTCTGGTTGATGCTGCTAGCTTCAATTTTATCAAAGATATTTGCATTCGGCTTATAATCCGCTCTCTACAATGTCTCTTAACTCCAACTCGATTCTCCCTTCTTATGTTGTTAGCCAGACTCTAAGCAATGCTCAGCAGGGAAAAGGACTAGAAGTCTAGAAGTCCTTTATTGCAAACTGCAGTCTACATCTGAAACCCCCTCCAAAATTGGCATCCAATTCAAGAAGCTTTATTTGACAAATGATAGTCAATGTGTTCCAACTTCCAGGATGACATCTTCTCCCTAACTGCAAGTCACACATGGTCACAGTGACAAGTCAATCTGGAGGCTTCATTAATCAAACTTCCCATTTTTGTCTCTTTCATACTGAGATTTCATCTTGATATAAAACAGCAGTACAATTTTTGTGACATCTGAATTGCCCTACCACTTCTTTCAGGGGTAATTATATGACAGCTGTGGTTCCATTCAGACTGTAAAAGCAGCGTACAGCAGTGGCTGAACTCAAGGTCGTTCCATGGTTCCAAGTAACAATTGGCTTTGTTCACATATTGGAGCCTCTCCAATATTACATGCCAGCCGGACAACAGACTGATTTTAAAATAGCAAACTGCACCGGTCTTGGATGTCTCAGGAGCTTGACTCTGTGTGGTTGGACATATTGTGAATTGTTGCTGAGGACTGTCAATGGCAATCATCTGGTGGGATCTGAAAGGGGGTTGGCAGTAAGTGACGCAGGGCTGGATCCATTTAAACTCAGACTGACATACACAGTTTCCATGTGTGTCTCTATGTAGACTAGGTCAAGCCAAACACTGACAAACACAATCATGTGCTTTTTGAAATTAATGAAGAACAAACCAAAACCATGACTTATTGTACATGCAGTCAGCTCTAATCTGGTGATTATTTTTTTGCTCCAATGTCCCATCTATTCCAGGACAGACTAGGTCACATGAGTAAGAGCTAAATAAAGCATTATTAGCCTAATTATTTGTCTTTTCCTTTTCCTTTTCCTTGTTATTTATGGATGAAATTCTCTTGACATCAGTTTATGTCTTAACATGCACCAGTGAAGAACATGAAGAAGTTGATATGAAAAGGTCTCTATGTGCAACAATCACAAAAATAACCTTGCATATCCTTCATTTAAATTGATCTCCAACAGTTCATGATTTTATGAGCTGCAATATTCTGTCAAAAGCCCAAACTGTCTTTGAAATTATTTTTGTTTTAAGCTTGTAAATCGTAATCATCACTACAGTGAAATTATTCTCTTGAATGATGTTGGTTTGTCATTGCAGAGCAAAAGTGATCTCTGAGTTTATTCAATGTAGTTATATTGACTTACATGTTTTTGCTTCTTCATTATGAACAGGAAACCTCCAGACTCATTTGTTTCCTCTGAAAAAAAACATGGTTTAAAGGTTTATAGGCAGATGGATGGACATGAGATAAATGTATGCGGTATGGCACTGAAAGAGCAAACTCATTATAATTTAGGCCATGCTTTTGATTCACTTCTTGCTTTGCCAAAACTCACCATTTGCCACTGTTGACTTGAATGGTTTGCACACACATTTTTTTCAAATAGCATGGGTAAGAGCCCAGGCTTAAATACGAGCCCAGAGCAGCTGGCAGGTCACATATGTCAGCACAAAGTCCATGCCATGAGAGACCATCAATCTCTAAAAGTAAAAAACATAAATTTTGGGAACATTAATAAAAAAAAAAAGATGAACAAAAAAGTAACAATAAATCATTAAAATGAACATTTAAAGAGTAAAATGTACAGTGTAGAAAATCATTTTCAGAGGATTCAAGACACAGGATGGATAATGGTTCAGACTGAATACGCCAGTTTAAAAAGATTGTTAACAGAAAAGAAAAAAGGAGAGAGAGTCAATATTATGGGGATGTCTGATGGGAGGGAGTTCCAGAGGTGGTGGGTAGAGTGGCTGATGGATCCTATGGTTGACAGGCAGGCTGGTGGTGCAGTGAGTTGGATGGCCCTAAAGGTAAGGAGCAGAATCTAGAAGTTAATGCCATAAAGCTTTTGGGGTTAAATGCTTTAAGCATTCAGTATGTCCCTTTATAAAGTCTGCATATAGTTCTTATCTGACAGTGTGTAGTTAAGAAAGTCATCTGGAAGAAAGACATATTTAGAAGGCCTTTGAATAAAGAGCTTAATGAGTATTTGCTACATCTACATAGAACAGCTATTATTTATTATTATTATTATTTATGAATTGAAAATGTTCTTCAGTTATTTACACTCAAGCACACCACTCTGTCTTCATACTCCATCCTCACTCAAGTGTGAACGACAGCATCACTAAGTGGCACTTCCAGCTTAACCATCGATTACTTTTTGACTTCTGGTTCTCGACACTCAGCTTGAGAGGCTTGTGAACCTCAAACTTCACCAGAGAAGTAAAGATTAAACAGAACAACTTCATGTGACCTTTATTCTAAAGAGGATTTATGAGTAATGCTCTGCAAATCCTACAGCTCATCAGACTGCATAAGTAGTTATTAAAAAGGCTTCCCATGGCACATAAAGTTTATGAGTTTTGACTGTAATCAAGGATTTTATTTATAAGGATTAGTCCATCATACATCAGTGTAGCATTGTTATTCAAACAAATTCACCCTGGAAAGTCCGCCAGTTATTAATTTCCTGCTGCTCCCTTTCTCACTAATAACCAGCACACTTGGCTGATCAAAGTCAGCACACCAGAATTAGGCAGCTAGCGCAGGGTCACACTTGTGATGATAGAAATAGCCTGATTAACAGACGCTTCCAGGCCCTGGGTTTCAGCCAATATAATTTTGCATCAACCATGTACTGATGATGTCCACACACGCAGCAGCCTTTGTCTTAAATAGAAGCACAAAGACATATCCTTTTATAGTCCTTCCTCTATTGTTGGCGTTGTGGTAAGGCATGCCAAGGGTGTAGATGACACCTGCGGACAGTGGATAAAGAGGCCTGACCTCTAATAGGCCACCACTACATGCACAGTCCTGAATCCCTCACTGTTGTGTCAGTCGTCCCCTTGTAGCCTGAAAGCTTTCTGAGATGGCACCGAAGAAGAAGGAGGAGCCGAAGCCTGCTGCACCTGCGACCCCAAAAGCCCCAGAGCCAGAGCGCCCTAAGACCCCGGAATTTGACCCCACAACAGTGACGGTAAAAAACAAAACAAAAAAACAATTATTTCACTTATAGCAAGGCACAGGGAATTAAAAATTGAGATTGACTTCAAGGTTTCAATCTTTAAATTACCGATGAGCATCACTTGGGTTAAGCGTTAAAATGGTTATTGAATTATTTGTTATTATTTTGTTATCATCGTCTTATATGATCCCTAATAAGAGGATTTCTTTATTAACACGTTCAATGGTAAACGGTCAAGCTGCTGTTTGAAGAGAATAAGAGACCCCATGTGACATAATCTTGGCATTGCAGCCAAAACAGGATTAGTCAGAGCAGCATGTTAATCCTGATAAAGTGTTGTTTTTTTTTAGCTCTTTAAAAAAGCTTAAAACATTGTGTTTTAGAGAAGAATGTGTGATTTATGTTAAGGAGAGGTTCAGTGGCAGCCAGCACACATCATGGAAAGATCTTCTGCTGACTTGGCCCCTTCTCATCAGGGCAATGTTTTCTTGCCACGTTACAATAGAGTGTGGTTAAAGCCACAAAATATGATTTTCATTATGCCCATGAATGGCAGACCACCCTGTATCATTCCTCTCTGTGCAAAAAAAAAAAGGGGGTGGAAAAAGCTGGGAGGAAGAAAAATAGAGATAATTACATCCATCGCCATCCATTTTTAGACATGCTTAGATAAGTGTTTGGATAATATTTTTACAGATGTGTCATTGGGGCTGAGGTTTGTAGATGGCTAGACATCAGACAGACACTTTGGGCAATATCAGAGGATATCCTGACTCTCATTATTAAGTTTGTGTGTAAAATATTAAAGTGGATTGTGTATCTTAAAAGTCAATTTTAATAGAAAGACAAGAGTTTGCTGAACATGTTTGCCTCTTAAAAGTTTCCTTAAAATTAAACTTAAAATAAAACCTGTTGAGGATTCTCTTTTTCTTTATAAATTCACGATTCCTTTGAGGTTGTACTCAACGTCCCAATGGTGTTTGTCGTTCTCCAAATTCTCTTCTAAAATCATATCTAAAATAATTTCGAATGAATCTGACAGTAGCAGACAAAAGGCATACTGACAGAAGAGCATGTGAGACCCAAGGTCACTATAAACCATGCACTGTGGATGGAGCAGATGCTGACCGTAACCTGATATTTTGCAAAGACACAATGAGGGTGCACACAACAATTTTTGCATATCATTCTGATAAACTTGTTTTCTTTCTGAAGTGGACTAATAATTTAGTAATCATCTAATTTTGTAGTTTCCTGTGTGTCTTTGTTTCAGCTGGAATTCACCCCTGAGCAGATTGAGGGTAAGGCTGTTGTTATTGTTGTCATGTGTGTTGCATGGACTGTCAGCTATTTTTAGCCAGGATGGATGGTTTGTGTGATTGTGCTGCCCATTAGTGTGTGAGAAATGTTCTGCAACAGCTGATGATACAGTGGTTTAGGGATATGATATCATAATAGAGTAAACACGTCCATCTGAGTTAATCCCTTTCAAAGGAGATGAATGCACATGTCAGTCAAAGTAGAGGGGAAGACCTCTGCTTATAGCCTTTTTGAATGTTTTCTCCTTTTAGTGCATCTCAAAGGAGCAATGTGTAAGATATCTTCTAATCATAAAATGACTGCAATATACCATCAGGGATTAAGGAAACATGTTGAAGCAATGGCTTCTCTAAAAAAAAAAAACAATGCAGCAACCAGTATGTCCTTCTCCTAACGTAAGTTTCGATTCCAGTCCAGAATGTGCTGTTTTCGTTTTGACCAGAGAGGGGAGGCAGTGTTAACACCCCAACACGCTTTATTAGACGCCTCTTGGTTGACCAGGCAAACGGCAAACCACAGGTGTTGCAGTGATGGAAGCAAGCAAGCAAACCTGTTCAGACATAACTGATTCCATTTTACCTAAAAAGCCTCTGCATTTTCTTAATAAGCTCAACAACCAGAAACCAGAAAAATAGGATAAATATTGGCGATGAAAAATGGAGAAAGGTTTCAAGACTGATGCAGAGCTGGCTAGACACTGAAGCTTCCGTGTCCGCTTCGACTCTTGGGAGGAAGGGGCAGGGGGAGACAGCTCTCTGCAATTTTTTGAATTTGGACTGCAGTACCAATTTGAAACGCTCTATGTCAGAGTTACATATTGTTCCCTTTAAAGGCATTTTCTCAAGAGATTCTGCATGTACATTTGGATAACATTAGCTGAATGTCAATTAAAAATAATAAACCGTTTCATTTGTCCCCAGACTTCAAAGATGCTTTCCAGCTGTTTGACAGGACACCTGCCAGCGAGATGAAGATCACTTACGATCAATGTGGTGATCTGATTAGAGCTTTGGGCCAGAATCCCACAAACACAGAGATCATGCATGTCCTTGGAAAGCCCAAGCCTGAAGGTGGGTTTCTTATCAAGATCAATATGCTGAATTATTCAATGTTGGCATATGCTACAACTACTTTGAATGAGGTTTGAAAGCAGCATCTGAAAGACTCAAATAATGTGAAATAGTCTCATGACTAAAGTCTGTGCAGATGCTCTATAAGAGTCCAAACTTTTTTAAAATCCTTTTATCATTTCCCTCAGAAATGCAAACCAAGATGCTTGACTTTGACCAGTTTCTGCCCATACACCAACACATCTGCAAGGCCAAGGAACGTGGAACATATGAGGACTTTGTGGAGGGTCTGAGGGTTTTTGACAAGGAGGGCAACGGCACAGTCATGGGGGCTGAGCTCAGGCACGTTCTGGCAACACTCGGTGAGTTTAAAAGTCTTACTGCGAGCTGTATTTTTAAAGCTGTCTTGCAATGATTAAGCTGACACATCTCCTGATATCTTCCTTCTGCAGGTGAGAAGATGAAGGAGGGCGAGGTGGAGCAGCTCATGCAAAACCAAGAGGATGCTAACGGATGCATTAATTATGAAGCATTTGTTAAATACATTATGGCTTCATAAAAAGGGTTCCTTATTGTCATTCTGGTGCTCCATCACTCTGAAATACAAAATCAATGAGTGAGTAATGAGTCTGTTTCTCCTGCACTAGAAAATAAATCATTGACCACAGCAGATCTTCAGATGTTTTCTGTGAATCCCGTCTTGTATATTTCCCATTTCCATGCGCATCAGATTGATTTATAACTCATCAATATTTCACAGTGTTTTTCTAGGAACGCATGTGTTGATGCTGTGCTCATATTGGACATTATCACTCTTGATATTGTGGACCTTGGTAAATAAATAAATAAATACATCTAATGATGTTCTTTTCTTCAATCAGTGCTCCCTAGCTGTGGTTTATTGTGTGTTCTAAAAAAAAAAAGCTGAGAGGTGCTAGTTCAATTCCTGGGCAAGGCCACGGTGCCTTTGAGCGAGGCAATGTAAGCAAGTTGGGGTTTGGAGCGCAGTCCTTTCTCTCCATTAGTGCATCTTCATTGGATCATGTTTGACTATGTCTTTAGCATGTTGAATTTAGATATCCTCAGATATTTTATAAGCATAATATAAATTATCCATTGTTTATAACTTTCTATTTGCCTTTTGTCCATTTTTTCCAAGAAGAGCTACAAGTGAACAGTGTGATAAAGGACATGAGACAAAACATTCAGTCAGACTGTTACTGTGAATTGTAACAGGTATCTGAGGGATATGTTACAATTCCATTCTTGAGCCAGCAGGGCGAGCTGTTGCCTAAATAATGGTTTCCTCATTCTCGTTTCAGGGGGTCTGTTAATACTGTTGAATAAAATATCATCCTTTCCTGTTCCTTTACTGGATTACACTATTTTTTTATGCAGATGCTCTGGTCCTGTATTGAACACAAAAATAAAAGCATGACAAATCTCTAAATCCTCTTGTGACAATCCATGGTCAACATACTTTAAAACTGAAGGAAAGTTATTTTTCTGGGACATTTTTGCCTTTATTGGATAGGATAGCCGAAGAGGGAGGAGATTTTAGGAGGAGAGAGTAGGGGTGACATGCATGAAGGGCTGTGGTCAGATCCCAACCCTCAAGCGCTGTGACAAGGACTTTTTGCCTCTGTAAATGGGGCGCAAACTCTAACTGCTAAAGCGGCACCCTAGAATTTACATGTTTATTTCTTATCTCCAATGGCATCATTCAAATTGTTGATGAATCTGCATCCTTCAACACCTCAAGTACAGTCAGCCAATAATGCAATAATCAATTCAGATGCCCTTTAACCCCAAAACACACTTTCACCGTACCCTGTCTATTGAATAATCCTGCTTTCTTTCTCTTTTTTTAACTGGTGTGAAAAGAATACAACCTTCTGGCACAGTGTAATTATTATTTTGTAATACTCAAACTGAAACAAGCTGACAAAGGAGATCAGGGTAGCTTAGAGGAGCTACACTGAGAAGCTAAAACACAGTTTCTCAGCTAACGACCTTAAGGCAGTTTGGACTAGGCCTGTGGGACATAACTACAGGAAACCCAGACCAGACCAGTCCCCCTCCTGCCTGAGAGTCTGTGCTGAGCAGCTTGCCCACATCTTCACTCAAATCTTCAACACATCACTGGAGCTCTGTGAAGTGCCCTTGTGCAGTCCCGAAGAAACCCGCCATCACAGGACTCAATGACTACAGGCCCGTCGCCCTGACTGCATCACCTCGACCCTCCGGGGACCTATACGCTAGGATCCTGTTTGTGGACTTCAGCTCGGCGTTCAACATCATCATCCCAGATATCCTCCACCGGAAACTCACCCAACTCAGTAGATCACCAACTTCCTGACTGACAGGAGGCAGCAGGTGAGGCTCGGGAGCATCACATCCAGCACCCGGACAATCAGCACTGGTGCCCTCCCCAGCGGTGTGTTCTCTCCCTTTCTTCCTCTACACCAACGACTGCACCTCAGGGGACCCTTCTGTGAAACTCCTGAAGTTTGCAGACGACACCACAGTCATCGGTCTCATCCAGGACGTGGACGAGACTGCTTACAGACGGGAGATGGAACAGCTGGCCCTCTGGTGCAGTCAGAACCACCTGGACCTGAACCTGCTCAAGATTGTTGTTTCAACTGATGCTACAGCGTGGGATGTTTAAAGCATAGAAAGATTGGTGAAATGTAAAAATTAAAAATATGGACTTACTTATAAGGAGAAACAGTTCACATGTTTTGTAAATCCTTTAAAGTTGTTTTGTTGTACAGCCAGTCAGGCATTCACTATAGTGCAAACTAAGCTTGTGGGTAGGATGTTGTGGGTAGGATGAGATTGGAGATAAACAAGTTAAGGTTAGGACTTGCCCTCCAGTTTAATAAGGGTTAAACTAATCTGAAAATCAATCCACCCAAACTATTTTTTATTTTATTTTAACATGACTTTCTCTGTTCCTGGCTTTTCCAAAGCACATCTCCCTCTCTGTTGTGCTGACCTTCATCCTACATTGTCTTTGTCACTCAGCCCTCTTCCAACCTGAACATCAGGATTTATATTTAGACATTATTTGTGCACAGCACATTTTCCACTGGACCTCCAGGATGACACCAGTTTGTGGTTTTTAAGATCTTTTGAGTCAACTGCACATCCAGAGTTATTTAGCCGGCTGTCTGTATCATAATGGAATCATTTCCTTAATGTGTCTCCAGATAAATGGCAACGATGTTCTTAGTAAAATGCACTTAAATTGTACCCAATCTTAGCTCCCACAGGTCAAGAATTATGGAGAGAATGTCACGCTGGAATAAAACATTTCTCATTTGATGTTTAACTTGATTATTTTGATAAATTGGACAGGTATGTTTAGTCAGGCTTCACATTTCATTACCTAAAGGTTTGAGCTTCTGAAGCGATTTCTCTGACTGCCAGCTTAGTTGTCACAGAAACTATGCATTACATTTCTAGAGGGAGGATCACCTAAAAGATGTTCCCATTATTGTATGAATCATTGGCTCTAACAGCACCAGAGAAATATGGTTGGGGAGCTGGGGCCTAGACTTCAAAGCCAATTCAACACACCCAGGGTATCTTGGATTACCTTTTGGATATCAACCTGATAAATCAACTCAGAGTTTCAACCATGGTTTCAACGAGGGCGTTCACATAAAAAGGGCGGAGTTTGTTTCATAGACTATAACCTATCACTCAATTATGAACAAGTCTGCTGTCAGCAAATCATCATGAAACAAACTCTGTGGAAATTATATGAAAATGTAAAGAAGTTAAGGCGCCTACAGACTTAAATAACAAAGCTCCAGCACCATGCAACAAGGACAACTGTCAGAAAAAAATTCCTTATATTAAATGTGTTACCATGACTATTCTTGTGGCGTGTATGACAGCTTCAGACGTTATATTTCAGCTGCAGCTTCAATGGTACCAGAGTGGCACAAAGCCACTTAAAATGACTAGCCAGTGAAAAGATAATTCAAAGCCATAAGTAGGCTGCACATAATCATACATCTTAAAAACACAACTTAAATGCTCAGGTGCTTTTTCAGTTTCTGTTGAAGAAAGGAGGATGATATAAGTAAAGAATAGGGGTCGTCAAACAATGACAAATCCTGCTTTGTAGTACACCCCCCACAGTGTTAATAGTAGAGGTTTAAAGACATGCATTTTACTACATGAAAACTGAATTACAATGAATTCAGTATGTTCTGAATGAACAAATGAAAATAATACATAATTACCAAACATCAATCCCTAACAATTGGTTCCATTGTGTACGCCTAAGATTATGTAAATAACACATGCACAATTTATTCCATCAATGCATTTCATTCCATTCAAACAGCAATACAAAAATCCTATCAGCTAGCTGCTGCCTGCCAGCTATAGCTAATTTTAGCCCGTGAAACCATTGAGACATGGCAGAGGTAGCTTTCTTTCAGCTCAGGGAGGACACTTACTTAGTTTCTTCAGGCAGGCCATGTTATAATTAAACTCCTCAGTCTCATCATTAACCTCCATGTTTGGCATCATGACTTCCTTAACGTGCTGGAGGAAGTCAAGATGCCCAACATGACGAGAGTCAATGGAGGCCAAAGAGCGATAAGTCTAGAACCCAGGAGGAGTTTTAGACACATAGAACGTTTTAAATAAAAGTTTTATTGGAGATTATACATTTTATTCAATAACTACATCCTATTTACTTTGCCATTCTAAAATTGTACATATAGCCTTTATTTAAAACTAATTGAACAATGCATGTTAGCATCTTAATTGCAGGACTAAGCGGTCTGTGACTCATGGCCACTAATGTCATTAAGTAACCTATCATTCCTTTTTTTATTGATTACAATAGTTAGCATAATCAGCTGATTAGCAGGAGCGTATAGACTACAAACTCTAAGGGTAAGGTTTGTTTAAGTTGTGCCACATTTGCTTTCAGACTTGAAACAACACAAAACCGCATATGGAATCACATACAGGCAGCACAGACTGATGTTCACTGACACTTCCCTTATTTTTACAAAATAAATTAATTCAATATATAGAAAATAAGAAGAGTTGCTAATAATAAAACATTTTAATTTATTTCCTTTTAATATCTAGTGGGTAATGTAGCTGAGACATGGACATAAAACAGCATTTTTCTAGAAGTTGGGTTCTGAACTCAAAATGTTGTATAGAAATTTACAATATAGCTAAATATTTGAATGGTAATAATGTGTTTTGTCATGCTTGATAAAGCTCATTTAAGAGGTACAGGTGACATCAAACAGCTGTTTTCACAGTCAACTCTTAATACAATGTACCAGACCTTTATGAGTCATCTCAACAGAGCCCTCCAAGCCAGATACAACTCAGGATCTGTACTCTTAAAGACATTGCTTTCTCCAAAAGCAATTGTTTCTGAAATGATTAGAAAACCAACTGTTGATCTATTTACAAAATGATGTATAGTCCATCAGGAAACACCTCATCATAGCATATAAAATGACAATAATGATGAAGCATCATTATGGCTATGACGGGGGCCTCAGGCTGTCAGTCATCTACTCCTGAGGTAATGACTGGTGAAATGCAGTTTAATGTAGAAGCCAAGAGCTCGGGGCAAACGATCCACAATTGAGTGCAGATATGCTTCTTGCCTCAGGCATGGGTACACTCCAGAACATCACATCCATGGTCCGCCTTTCATACTGTTATAAGGCATCAAAAGCATTAATTGTCACAACAAGCTGCATCAGAGTCTCGGCTAATTGTTTGGAGATGTATAACTCATAAAGCCCTGAGGGTCCTGAGCCCAGGCAGCAGTTTCTGCTCCACTTCACTCCAGCGCAGGCTGAAATTAAGAAAAACTGTCTCTACATTCATACAGTATTACATAATGTTCTCTCAGGGCATCTTCACTTGCATCCCTGAAAACTATATTTGCAAGTAAAACAATTACATGCCACAGTGTCAGTGAAGCTGTATTAGTGAACTCTATCATGAGAATAATTATTTGATTAAATCATTACAAGACTGCTACATTTATTTCACAAAGCGCTTTGAGAGAAATAAAATGAATACATTCAGCAGATCACATTAGCATAATATGCAGCTAATGTCAGATTGCCTAATGTAACTGCAGAGACATAATGTATCTTGCACTCTGGCAACTCTGATCAATGTTGTTTACAAGAAGCTCTGTAGAAAAAAAGAGAGACTAAACCATGAAAACACAAACACTGTAATAAGAGTAATAGTTTTTAATCAAATTAACATTTTTTCCTTTCACATGTGCATGTACAAATGTATATCAATAACACAATGAAACGTTATTTACAGTAACATTAGCTTACTTTTGACATATAGAATGCATTTTTTTCACTTGTAAGGCAACATAGGTGGTTGGACATGTAGTTTCCCACATAATCAGTTGGTCAGATGTATCCAGGTACAGTGATGAATGACAACTCTGATGTCACACAGCATTGAATACATGAAATTGTGTACAGTAAATGGAGTAAAAATCAAATAAACATACGATTTGGTCTACTAAGGGCAGTGACAACTTTTGTAATGTGGGGAGAATAAAATTCTGGATGCTGGTAAACATGATTTGTCTCTTTGGTGAATTTGAGTAGATGATCTGTTTTTTTTTTGTTTTTGTCAAAACATATTTCACATTTATTCGATCATGGGGAGGCGCTCTGTGTTACACCCGCAGAAGTTGTGATTGGGAAAACAGAAATGTTGGTTTATAAAACAGGATCAAATATTTACAATAGAATCCCTTTGGATGATCGACATTTGAAACAAAAAAAAGGCTTTTGTCAGTCCAGAAGGGCAGCTGTTTACCGAAACTGTAAATGTCTTCTATAATGTAACAGAAAATACAAAGTACAACAAGGACAGACAACATGTTTTATACATAACAACATTAAACACATTTGGTCACAATTCAGTAGAGATTCTCTTTTATCTTTAAAATCCAAAACCACAGAACAGATCCAGTGTATTTTAATCCTGACATAGAATCACAAATAAGTAACCCATAGATTTAACTTAAAAGAAAAAATAAACCAAATAAAACAAGCTGAAAATGGATAATTTTTCCCAAAAAAAGTTTGACGCTGTTTCTTGTTTTAATGTCAGATGAGAAGATCTTCTGTCATGACTGTTAAAAATAAAAATACTGCAAGCTGTCTGCTGGCTTAGTTTAGCACAAAGACTAGAAACATGAGAAACAGCATCTTAACAACATATATCCACCAATAACTCTAATGCTCATATTTCAACATGTTCAATGTTAAAACCCATTCAATAACCAAAGTGTACTACTAAACATTCTTTATATTTTAGTGGTTATGTGCCAAAAACTATTTCTTGGATGGGAGAAATGTGGACTGAGCCAAGCTTTTCCTGTGCTTCCAGACTTTATGTTATGCTAAGCTAATTGACTAGTTGCTACTGCCAACTGCTAAATGATGCACATACATGAGAGAAGTATCAAACTTCTCATGTAACTCAATATATCCTTTTTTTCATCCTTTATCGCGATCCTTCTGCATGTTTTAGCACAAAAGACAAGTGGTTTTGAGATTGCAGATAGATGGTTGTTGTTGTCCCTGCAATTGTGTGAGCAGCCTGAGCAGATGAAAGAGTTGGCATCAGAGGAAATTGGTGCCCACTCATCAAGTTTCTTTTCTCTTGAAACAGCAGCTTTGTTTTGATACTCATTAAAAAACACCAAGATAAAGCCAAAATAATTCATCTTTTCCACTTTACCTGCACTTCCAATACACATATACATTACACACAAATGACATAAATGACTCAGTAATGAAAGAGTGCTGTATCTTTACTCGCCTCTAATGTAGGCCTGCTCACCCATAAGCCTCGGGGGAGTTCAAACCTATCTGCTTAAATAGCTCTGTATGATCACACCCTCACTTCTCTGAGAAGACAAAAACAAAGACAGCAAAGGGGGAAGCAAATAATAATGAGGGAAACAATTACCTGGACCAGAGAGTATTAAAAAAATGTTAACAATCGTACAATACTTGACAAAAAAAATTCAACTCAATATGTGTAAAAGTACACACAATGAAAGGAGGGAAGTCAGACTTCTCTGAGGACTGGAATGACTGGGTGGATGTAAAAAAGTAGTAATTTCAATGAATTTGAACAAAATGTGCCACCACAGGTGGGGTGAAAAACACTCCATGTAAAATAACTTTTCATCCCTTTTGGCAAGAAACAGCAGAGTCTCTTTTGAATTTTTTGTTTCAGGTTAAATGCCCTATCCCCCAGAGCCTCTCTACTGTCCCTGTCAAAAGCAGCTGTTGAAAAGACAGACCATTTTACTCAAAAAGCATTTCAGTATTCACAACACACAAATGGCTCTTTTTTTTGGGGCAACATTTTGAGTGCATCTTGGTTGACGCTTCTAATTACACTGCAAGAAATTCCTCGTGGCCCACCCACTATGTGAGAATGAAGCAGGTGCTTACAGTTGTGTGAGCTGTTAAAAGTATCCTGCAGCAAATCTTGTAGAATAATCTTACTCCATAAAAAACCAGCAGGCTGAAAGATGACAGCAGCAATGACAACACACCGAGAGATCAGACGATAAGACTCACTCTGGCAGTCTGATGATGAAGTCATATTTATGTCAGATACTCTAATCTTCAGGAAAACTCAAACCTTACACCTCATGTACCGTATGTTCTAGGAGATACAACCTCCTGCAACCTTTTTTCCTCCAATTACACTTCATGTGTAGTACCTTCCTATGCTATTTTTTTTCCACAAACAACAGAAATGTCCGTCTTTGCTCATATCAGACATAACTTGGTCTTTTAAGAGGAATGAGTATGTTCTGTAGGTGTTTCTGTAGAACATGAAGTCTGTTCTGTTGGATGTGTTATAGGAGATGATGTGCTCTTCCTCTGGTCACACAGCCGTGGTCTGTTTGATGCTGTGGAAGCTGATCCTGGTTGGAGATGTGGGGATGGACATGGCTCGGGCCACTCGCACTCGCAGGGCGTGGTTGTCTTGCCAGCGGTGCCATCGTTTCCTCACTGCCGAGCGTACCTAAAATGATTGATAAGAACATAGAAGACCAAATGTTATGACATGAAAAATTAAGCTCTTATTATTTAAGAAAAGGAGTATCACATCATATTTGTAAAGATGAAAATTACTACCACTCTTATATGTATATCTGTTTTATTTTTTTACATGAACAGCTACACCCGGGGAACCAATAAGCTCTTCCCTCTCTGTATGGAAAGTTTTAGAGTAGTTTATGTTACGCCCCGCCATAACAACAATCCACACACTGACCCATTAAAATACAATAAACACCTTAACAACGCCAAAACAAAGGGATTTATTATCAACATGACAAACTAAATCATAACAACAAACAAAACAACAAACAATCCCTGACTGAGCAGAAGAGCAGCACCAACTCCAAATGCCTACTCAAAATGCCTCTCTTTCTGCAGCCAGCACTGGCATTTTAAGCACTGAGGCCAGGTGTACCTCGTTGTCCAAATAGTAGCTTCACCTGGGCTGGAGACAACAGAAGGGGAGAAGGGACACAGGGCACAGGGAAACATACAGCCGTAACACCCCCACCCTTAAAGCTATGAATAAATCATTTGTTATAAAAATGCCACAAAATGCCATCAATTTAACACCAATATGGCAAGTCACTCTAAAACATAACATTTATTAACTGAATTAAAGTACACTGTGCAAATCAATTACACATTAAAATTACAAAATGGGTGTTACTTACCAAGGCTATTTTCAACCATTAAACAGCTAATTGAGTCAATCATTCGGTCACAAAGAACAAACATGGGACTACTGACTCAAAGGTGTTAACATGGGTCAATAATGGAACATAGATCCAACACAAACAAAAGGGCCATCACAGATGCTTCAACAGAGTTTAAATTTGAGCATCAACTACAATGGTAGCCAATCAGACAGTACTGCACTAACCTACATTTAACATTGTAACACAGGTGCCCAACATACAAAAGCGGAGTGCAACAGTCACAGCAAAAGGATCAACACAAGTAGACCCACTACAATAATTGTTGCCATTCACTAACAGCCACAGAAAGATCCAACTTCATTGATCTGCCACTACCACAACAAAAGATGGACACCCTTGTGGTCCACAACATTTACTCTGGTAAATGTAGGCAAGGAGTCACACAAACAGTTCAACAATCCAGGAGGACACACCCACCACTCGAAGATCCACTGATTTGTGAAGTGACATCTTCCTGGACCATCAAGTCACACTAAATTTGCCACAGTAAAGTACACAACAGTAACACACAAGTGTTACAAAACCAAAATGTGGACTGCAACACCACCACACAAAATGGCCACCCTGTAGTCACACTAACTCTTAAGAAGCAACGCGAGTGACCCAACGAATGTGGATTACAGTTACCACCGAAATGTCACAAGCCAAAAAGTTACTGCACACGAAAGCACTGACTGTAGCTAAACAAACACACAACAAAGTCCATCAGCGAGCAAAGTGAGCAAGCCCCTGAGTGCTGCAACAAAATGTAATCTCACCTGGCACCTTTAACTAATTCCTGACTTTCTTCAGAGGCTTGCCGGGCTCGAGGCGACTTTAAAGACAAACATCAGAGTTTCAGTCTTAACTGAAACATCTGACACGCCTACCCCCAACAGAGAACAGGTCTCCACCCAGGATTAACTCCAAAAATAAAAAAGGCAAAATAACAAATAGTGGACTGATGGATGGACGAATAAATCAGCCCAGCTGGCCCACTCCCTCACTAACCAGGGAGATCCCTTAAATCTTAAATCTTCAAAGCACTCAGACACTAAACTCAACTGATACTCACCAGGAAACACAATAGTGACAAAACAAGAAAAAATCAACAACTTACACAGAAACCTACAAACACTGCACCTCATGGACGATCGATCCCGGACGAGACCCCATTTTGTTACGCCCCACCAAAAGGCGGCCCTATGGGGCTAACAACAATCCACACATTCACCAATTAAAATACTTAAAACACCTTAAAAACAACAGACAATCCCTGACTGAGAGGCACAGCAGTCCAAACTTCTCAAAAATGCCAAATTGGCTTTGTTAAGGTGTTTAGTGTCTTGTAATGGGTCAATGTGTGGATTGTTGTTAGCCCCATAGGGCCGCCTTATGGCGGGGCGTAACATTTAGCATACACAATGTTAGCATATCTAAAACTCAATGTGTACCATGTAGGTCTTACTTGTGTTACATCGAGAATATACTGTTTAAAAAACAAAACAAAAAACAAGAAAAACAGTATATATATATATATATATATATATACTGTTTTTGTTGCTGTTTCTTTTTTTTGCTGCAACACAGAAAAAACATCCGACCAGATTTTGTTTAAAGGCAGAATCCATAGCTTTCGCTTAAAAAAAAAATAAAAAATAGACTTGTACAAAAGTAATGCCGCCCACTCATCACTTATGGGCCTCTATACAGTACATGTGTGGTGGTGACTGTGTCTGCAGAGAATCGGAGTTGGTCTGCTTTCTGTTGGACAGGCAGGTCTCAAACACCTGCGGTTATCTTGTGCTTGCTTGCTAAATTATACGCTCTTCTATTAAAACAAATGTAATATTCTCAGGCAACTTGCAGCGTAGGTAAAAGCAGTAAACAGTACATGCTTCTGGTGAGGATGGGCCCATGGAGGAGGGGCCTAGTTTGAATGTTGTGTTTACAAGCAGCAACAAACATTTCTACCAACTCTGCCTTTAACTTTAAGAAACTTTTTAAGAAACAATGTAATCATTCATTGTTACAATTAAGGGGTTAATGAAAAAAATGCACAGCTGAGATGATGAAACTTCAGCCTAATAACACCGTATTGTGACATAGTTCTCATAAAACATCCAGACAAATATACAGGTAGTTGTTGTACTTCAAAGTTTGCATCTATTTGAACATAAAAGACAGAATTTTTGTCTGCTGGAAGTCTGGCTCATGGAGTGCCCTGGAGCTTGTTTAGTATGGATAAAACATTAAATGTGTGAATTACATTTGGACAGAAAAAGACTTAGTATTTACACTCCTGTTTTATTTGCCTAGGGTTAAAGGAGAAGCTTGATCTCTACATCCCGTAAAATAACTTATATCTCCATTAGTCACTTTTGAAATTACTGGAGGGAAATGAGAGAATATATTAACACAACTAATCTGAAACACAAGCTTGTACTTAACAGATAAAATAACTGTATTCGAGTGGTGACTCAAATCACAATTCCTCATTAAATTAAGCGCCTCACCACCCCCAAGTTTCATATATTTGAGGGCTGGAAGGGAGCACTAAGTGGATCCTTCATTTCTCACAATTACTGACAAATGAGTAATCAGAGGGCATTAACCACCTCTTCACAACTGGAATACAAGCAATTTACTTTCATTTTAATTAGATGAACATGACAGAGCTCAGCGAAAAAATGTTTTGGTCAACATCAGAATGCGACAATTTCACTAATGGAACACAAAGTCCTTTTGTACGTTATCTTTATGAAAGCTAACTGCTAACTACCTCTGCTTGAAATTGGCAAGGTATTGTTACGAGGAGGGTAGTTAGACATAAAAGCATGACTAAACCTGTCTTGGAAATTCATGTGGGGCTTTATTAAGATCATGAATCAAGGAAAACATGACAATTTAATGAAATTCATAAATACTCACAAAGCTCCAGTGACTCACCTCTCCATTTAGGAAGCAGTAAAACACTGACACAAAGAAGCCCTGCAGAAAGAAACACATTCCTGTTAGATCAGGATGTAGCGCAGCATTAATGTGTAATGGCAGCTTAATTAGACATCAGAGAACTTAGAAAGTGCAGTTATAAAAGAAGGAACTGAAGTATTGCAATTTTGAAGTAAATGTTTTCATGTCTTCTAAAGTTCATGCCTTTAAAGGTGCACTACAGAGTTTTTTTTTCAGAGAAATTTGAAAGTTGGAGAAGTGTACAGATTCTGTGGTATATGTTCATAATATATGAAAACTGTCCTCAGAAGAAAATTTGGTCCCTAGAACGCTGTTTGGAAATAAAATGCTACGCGAAAAGTTATGGTGGTGGGCCCGCTATAGTAAAACCAGGGGTGCGTTCGAATTGTCCCTCCTATCTCCTTTCACTATCCACTTTACCTTAACCCCGGGAAGCATTTAAGTGGCGGCCATGATAAGAGCCGTTCGAATTCTCTAAAACTTAAGGAAAGGTGGGTCAATGCTTCCTTTATAACCTCCTTTAGCATAGGATACACTGGACCATCCTTTACGAAAGGAGTTCACGTTCACGGAAATGAACGATGATCGTAAAGTGACACAGATGATGTTTTATTCAACATATTTAATTCACTTAAAAATGCTTTGTGCAGTTGTACATTTGTATGCTTGAAATATTATGTGTAGGTTATATCTTGCAGAAATGTAACAATTCATTTCATACAATCATATTTATGTTGATGTTGATTTATGAGTGGACAGGAAGGTGATGGTTTCACTTTTATTACTTATTCTATATTGCTTTTATTTCAATCCCACCCCTTGTGGTGATTAGGATTATTTCACCGGTAAGAAGGCACAGGGGAAAGTTTTTTAGATGTGTTTTTTGTAGTCCATTTTCGGAACATTGTAGTTTCAACACGGCAGACCCACGTCATTAACCTCCGCCAGCTCGTCGCATTTAATGACGTCGCCTAGTGGAAAGTCCTTTATGAATTCTCCTAACATCTTTCCTTGACCTCATGACGTTTTTGCGGGGTTAAGGTAAAGTGGATAGTGAAAGGAGATAGGAGGGAACGCACCCCAGAACTCTCCTGGTAGCTTTTTAGCTCCAAACAGTGTTCCAGGTACCCATTTTTTCCTTTAAATAAAGTTTGGTATTTAGTTCAGAAAATACAGTATAGGATTGTTTCACTTCTCAAACTTTCAAATTTCAATACCAAATCTACATGGTGCCCCTTTAAAGAAGCTCTGCTTGAAATCATATTCTCCCTCCTACTCAGTTTGATACTTAAATACATCAAATCAAAGAATAAAAAAATAGCCATGGGTAAAATCTCATGCCCTCATGGCCATCTTGAACTTTTTGTCAGGGCACTTAACATGAGGCAAGAGGGCCATAATGTGTAAACACAGCCAAAAATTAAATCATCTTCCATTCGGAAGGTTCATGACCTTAAAAGTCATCCTGAGAGATATGATACAGCTGTGCGATAAAACTCATTCAGAGATCAGTAAGATTCACGGTGTTCTCTTTGTATATGTTGTATTGCATTAGTTACACATTGTCCTTCCTCATACCTGAAAAGACTGCAAAAATGAGTTAAAATAGATGAAGACTATTTGTGAGATGTCGTCTTCCCCCGGATTCACAAAGAACAGCATGTAGGTGATGCCCAGCAGGGGTAAGAGGACCAGTGTTGCTTTCACAGCTTTCCTGTGAAGACAGGGACAGAATAATAATAATAATATAAAACACCTCATTTATAAAATTAGTACAGTGAGAGCCTGGATTCAGTCTGAGTTCATTTTGAAGAAAGGCACGATTCTGCGTCAGTGGAAGAGCGGGAAAAACACACACACACACACACACACACACACACACACACACACACACACACACACACACACACACACACACGCAGACACACAAATACACACTGATGCTTCACTTAAAAATATCAACACATCCGCAGAGAGATTAACCCTAGTTTGTAAGAAAATAACACAACTTTCTCTAAATGCACGTCAAGTTTAAAATGCATTGATAAAGTCTGCCAACAAACCATTACAATATCATTTAGCAGACATTTTGTCCAAAAGCATCAAAGATCTGAGAGGAAGTACAGCACAAACAAGGAGTCTGATCAAAGTTAGATTGGACACAGGTTTTTCTTTAAGTGCCAAAAGGAACCGCAAAGAGGACATGCACAGGGTGGAATACAGGATTTTTTTTTATCATCATCATCAACAGCACCAAATTCTTCATCATCAATATCACCACCATCATGAATATCCTTTTTAACACCATCCTAAATTTCAAAAGCATCATCAGTTGTATTAGTATACATCATTGACATTTTCCTGCCCCTCTTGGATTTGTTTGCTTCTGTTATTTTGGGTTACCTTTGCACCGAACCGGGCTGTTTAATAAACTCTGCCTTTTTATTGTATCCTGCCTCAAAAGCCTTTTAGGGCTGCCTTGCTTAAAAGTCTGTCCGATGGAGTATGCTTTTTAATAGACACAAAGCTGGTTAAAAGATTGAGATACCCAATTGGTTGAAAATTTATTCGGGGTTACAACACAAGTAAAAAAAACTCTTCAAAAATTATGGTTTTGGCCCAAAACCTTCACATATTAACCCGAGCAAGCAATTTAAAATCCCATAACTCCATTGTTAACATTCTGCATGCATTTCTGGTTAACCTGGCAGTATTTTGATGGAATCATAATGTTCTAAATTTAAGTTAATAATTCATAGCTGACACTCGTGTTCTTCTCACAGAAATCTGCATGGCTCATGTCAGCATATCTGTCACACAACAACTTTAAATCCAGCCCTATCCTGCACAGCCTGAATTGAAGTTGTCTGAGCTGACAGAGCAAACACCATGAACACTCGGAGTAATCCCCGGAGGATAGAAACACACTTGACAGAGTAGCCTAAAAGGAAAAGGCTCTCACAATTTAGCGGCCAGACACACAACATGACGACAAGAAGCGGGATTGCACACAGCTTGCCTCTCTCAGACGCACACCAAATCGCTGCGTTTACTCACTCATCAAGTCCTGTCAGAAACACTAGAGGTACTCCACCTCAGACCATTTCTGGTGGTGGGGTGCAATGAAAAACTAGATTTTTTGCAACTACCTTGTGCCCACTCAGAGTAATTGTGTTTGTCTAGACTTTATTTTATTTTACCAAATATGACAGGAACATCAGCCAAGTCCCAAATCCATTCTATTCAGTATATTTCTATTCAAAACAGGGTTGGCTTTTTGAGAGATAAGAATTTAAATGTCAACTTAGATTTTATAGGAAAAGAGCAATGCAACCATAAACTGTATATATATAAAAGTAAATTAGCTATCATGATGTCACACATTTTATTGGTGTTTTGATTACATTCACTATGCAGTTTTGGAAGAGCCAAGCATGACCATATTTGAATGAAAGGGTGAGAGGAGCATTTGGCAGCTAACAATGTTTAATGGTTATCCAGCCTATGCTAAATGCTAATACAGCAGTTGGCATATTGGATAGTTAAGAATAAGGCTTTAATTCACTTAGATTTGTGTCAGTAGTCGACTGAAAATAGGTAAGAAAAGAGGGCATGTGAAAAGTAACAAATGTGCAAGTCTTCCCCACACATGGGGAAGATGGGGAACAGGCAGGTGAGAGAGCAGCAGGTAAACTAATTGAAATGGGAGATTGAAAATAATCTCATCGGTACTGCCTGCCATCTGTTATTCCAGTAAAAGCCAAAAGCCAACAACATCCGGACTACTATGCACAGGCAGCCAAAAATAAATCAAAGCATAAGAAATACTTAATAGATTAGGTTTAGAACTAATAGATTAGGTTCAGTAAGCTCAGCGACATGCTAATGCTAACATAGTATTGATTTAACAGAAGCTCATTTAGCAAAACATATGATATATGGCTGAAAATAAAATCTAAGGTGGTTGAGTCAAAAGGTTAGTGACCAAGGCTGATGCAAAGTTGTGCTTTTAACAAGTGGGAGTTATGGATTGACTTACATCTGTTTTTTTTTAGTTTAGTTTAGTTTTAAACATGCACGATGTCTCTGGAGGGAGCAAACAGAGCACAGAAGTGTCACTTCCATACACTACACACTAACCTGTACTGTATTGTTTCCGATGTGGTTGAAGCTCTGAGTTTGGTCATAAGAATTCTGACGATGTTGAAGAGAAAAACAAAGTTAATCTAGAAGGGAAAAGAAAAACAGAAATGAATGTTTTTGAAAACCTGTTCTAAATGCTTACATTAAAACACAGCCAGAGCAATTTTCTGCTGCAAGCAGCTGGTGAAACGCTGAGTGGGAGGAGCAGCCACACGAGTCAAAGCCTCCTCCTCCTCTCTCAAGGAGAGCATGTTAGAGGAGCACATGAATCTAAACTGGTCGCCACACTGGAACATGTTGATAACAGCTAACCATTAGTGAATGCATTTCTTTGAATACAAATTGATGTTCTCAGAATCTGTGTGTGTAACTTTAATACCTTAGCCCATAAGGAAGATTAATTCCACCTTATTTTATAAGCTAGCTGCAGAATGGAAATGGCTTTCATGGTTCATCCATTTTCATTTTGAGGCAGATTTTTTTCATTACTTAACACTTTGATTCAGGCATTAGTGACTGATCATGTATGTGTGTGTTGTTTATTACAGATAGGATGAAAATAATTAATGGTGGATGTACAGTTGAATGACTTTGCTGCTCACCAGTAGCACAAGAATAACAGGTCCCTGGTAAATGTAGTCCATATATTTTCCAGGTTCTTTTCCAAACCAACATCTGAAGGCAAAATAAAAGAGAATCAGAACAATCAAAGTGGGAAAACAGTCTGAGAAAACATTAGAAAGACTTTGGCAAAAGAAAAAAAAACAATGATAAATGAAACTAAGTGGGCGCCAGTAGCCTAAGCGTTAGTATGTGCGCCCTATGTATGGGGGCGGTAGTCCTCCAAGCAGTCAGCCTGGGTTCAAATCCTACCAAAGGCTCCTTTCTTGCATGTCATTCCCTACTCTCTCTCTCTTCCCGATTTCTAACTCTATCCACTGTCCTGTCACTTTCTTCCAAATAGAGGGATATAAAGCCCCAAAAGAAACCTTAAAAAACAAAATAAAAAACAACAACAATGAAACAAATGTTTATTCAATACTTACTGTTCATTTTCATAATACAACTTCCCTATGGCCCAGGCAACTATTATCGGAAATGGGATACCTAGAAAACATGATTCAAGTGAGTCAAAGAGAACACAAACATTTAAAATGTTAAAGGGAAGTATATAATGTATAAACATATTTTTTCCAATGTCGCTGCAGGGAGTTTTTCCCCCCACCTAAACCAAAAAAGGTGGAAGCTTTATCCCTGACTATATAAGCCCCTGCCCTGACTACAACATAGAGGTTTAAAGAAGAGAGAGAAGAAGAAGCCATGAGTCACACACAGGAACTTTTTGCAAGCTAAAGTGGCTTCACGGTCAAATGATGCATCACTCAGGAGTCATTGAGGGCTGGCAGGGACATAACAGAGTTTTGTGGGTATGTCTGAAAAAAACAACACAAAAAAAAAACACATTCTGTGTAATGGGTGATGGTCTTCTAAGAAGCTTTGTCAAATAATTCAAACACCACAAATTGCAACATTAAAAAAAATGATTTATACTTTTCTGACCCAAAATGATTGCCACATGGATGACAATGATCGTTTGAGTTAGTCTTAGTCTCTATCGACCACATTAGAACAATGTCTGTTGTATCAGCACACCAAAAGTCAGGTGTGGGTTATAGCTGTGACTGGTTTTATGTAGAGGATCTGTCGAGTCTGACTGGAAAAAGGAACAAGTGTGCTTGAATTGGTCACAACTTTTAATGGAAAATCCCCCATTTAAAGGATTTTCTAGGCAATAAAGAGTCCTATTTTGTCTTTTTGCTTTAAATAAAAGGCCCTTTCATGTATTGTACATATCTTCAAGTCTTTGTTTTTATGTAAATTTGGTCCACATTTGAGAGCTTAAGCTTATTTTACAATCTGTTTGAGGCTGTGCTGCCTAAAAACCCCTTTGTTGCACGTTGAGTTGTAAGTACTGAAAAGGCCCCCAGAGCATGCAGGAGTGCGGATCAAGAAAAGACGGCTCCTTAAGCTACTTTCCTTACCTCTCCAGTAAGCCAACAAGCTAATTGAGCAAATTATCTTCCAGTTAAATATAATTAGCTAAAGCACACATCACATATATAACACAGTGACAGACTTATTGTACAGTCACATTTGATCTATAGTTGAACAAACATGAAGGTAAAAATATCAGTGATTTGTCGGAGCTTGAAGAATAAATGTTGGAACCTATTTCAATCCCACTTTACACCAGTCCTCTGGTGTGTGACATTTTTAATCTGCCCTACTTCCATCATCTCCTAATGAATCCTAATTAAAGACCTCTCAAGACTAATATCAGTAGCACAATGAGAAGTCACATCTCCCTGGCTTGTGGTCTACACAACACAGAAATACAGTTGAAGTTTCTGAACTATACAATACTACTTTGTGCAATAGACTTTTTAGACTTTTTATTTAACTTAAACTCATGCTTGACATGTTGCTGTAGATGCCTAAATGTAGTCACTTTAAGGTAAGGCATTGTGTGTTTGTTTGTTTTTGTACATTGAATGTCATAAAGGCTATGAGGGGTGAAAGTTACAAAAGTGAAATGATAAAAGCGGAGGTGATGAAAATGCATGTGAACTTAAAAATAGAGTGGAATGGACTTCCAGAAGAATTGAATAGTGATTAGCCAGTCATTTGATTATATCACTTTTATCCGTCCATTATCTATAACACTTCTTTCCGGTTTGGGCTTGCTGGAGCCGATCCCAGCTGTCATCAGGCGAGAGGCGAGATAGACTCTGGACTGATCACCAGTCAATCACAGGGCTGACTTATAGAGACAGACAACCCGCCACACTCACATTCACACCTACGGGCAATTTATTTTGAGTCTCCAATTGTTCTAATGAGTATGTCTTTGGACTGTGGGGGGGATACGGAGTTCCGGAAGAGAACACGCGCATGCACAGGGAGAACATGCAAACTCCACAAAGAAAGGCTCCTGTCCCTTGGGGATTTGAACCAGGAACCTCCTTGCTGTGGGTCAAAAGCGCTAATTTTGTGTTAAATCCAAATGCTAAAGGCAGGGTTGGTTAATTTTTGAAAACTAGCATGATTTTTAAAAGTCTTAAAACGTGTATACAGAGCATTTTCATCATCTCAATTTGTATCATCAATTATTGTTACTTCCACCCTTGAGATGCGAATGACCTCGAGAAAGAAGGAAACAACATCAGTAAGTGCCAACAGACAGAAAAGGCTGATTGGACATAGGTGCTCATAGGCACAGAGTATATAGAATAATTGTTTTCATCCTCATCCTCATCATTCTGTTTATTTGATGGATAGCCACCTGAGATGAACCATCTCATTTTTGAGGGGGTCCATCATCATTATCACCATCCTCATCAACATCAATGACAGTTTTTCTTTCTGTGCTTCCAACTCTTTCAACCTCTTTCTTTCTCTTTCTCAATTGTTGTTGCTGCTGTAGCTTACTTGGGAATTTCCCCTGACATGTTAATTCTAGTGTACAATTGTCAGAAAAAGATATTCTTTTTCCCCAAGATATTGATCACTTTATGAAAAAATAAACTCATTATGTAACATTGTGTGGCTAACTGGTTAAAACTAAACTTATTTCCTCTCCACTTGCAAGAGTTGTTAGTATACTTTCTTTAGAGATACACAGATCATTCACTCCTTATCGAGGAATCACATTAGACCATTCAAACCAGACTAATATGTGTTATATTTGCCTTTGGTTACTTCTATTTTAAAGCCGATATAAGCCTGCAGATCATGTCACCCATGTGTCATCACTAATCATAAGTCATCTGCTACTTATCTATTTATTTTCCATCCTTGTGTGCATAAGGCTCTGCTGCATGGCCTAGATTTAGTAAAGTGCATGTTTATTTTTCTTTCTGAATGAACACAGAACGTGTCTGACATGTAAAGAAAGAAAGAAAATGTCAGACCGGCTCGGTGTTTCTATGTGCATTTTCTGCCTTAAGATGAATTTTTCTGACAATACGCTGTTTTTCCTAATAGCTAAAGTCAAGGAGAGCATAGATAATTGATGTGTCCACATGGGGTACATATAAGTTCCAATTCATTCTATCCCTGGAAGTTAACTACAAAAAAAACCCTACATTTCTCTGATGCTCTGTTCCCTCATGAAATTAAAGCCTTATCTTTAGGCTGAGCACTAAAGAGTCTCCTCCACCTTCACTCGCTGAGCAGACTTCACTTAACTGGTTCATTCAGGCAAATGCAAACCTGGAATTGGGGAGAGATATTATAAATCGCTGTGGTCCAGCTGTCTCACAATCTGCATGTCATTGAAAATATTCCAGAACCACTCCTACTCCAAGTAACCTGTGCATATATTGATATTTAAAACGGGTCGTTTTGACTTTAAAATTGAATACTGTATCAGAAACTTTCAAATCTTCTATAAGGTCAAAAATAATCATAATAATCATCATTTTATTGATTTTCCATCCATTGTAATGATGAAACATGTTGTAGTCTTGGGTTAAATCTGGGTTAAATCTTGGCTTAATCCTTATAGATTAAGAGCTAAAGGCTTGATAGGTTGTTCTGGAAACCACATACAGTGTAGGCTTCGAGGCCCTACACCTTTGTTTAGCTTATATTTTAATGAATTTGTATTTTAATATCTTATTTTTGCTTAATGATGTACTTAAAGTACATCTATGTAATGGATTATTATTCATAAAGATGTGTAGAAAACACATTTGCATTTATCATCTTTCTGATTTTTTTGTTTGGCTACAGTTACTCTTTACGAGGATCTCAGCACTGGTGACAACAGCACGCTGACTCAACTATTCCTGGCGTCCAACCTTTCCAGACTGTCAGATGCTGACTAGAGTTTCCCACAGAAATGTTGACTTGACATCAAATTTGTAATACCAAAAAAAAGTATGACGAATGTCAGTTCTTTCAACGGGGTCAAAGGGTCAAACACAAAAGTGTAACCTTATTTGACAAAAGACTGAACAATGGTGTAGTTACCTTAAAACCTTGTGATTCCAACTTTCACGATATTACACTCATATGGTTTAGAAATATCGTTTGATCAATGAATCTGTTAAATTTGAATATTTCTATTTTCATGTTGACTGAGCTAAAAAAAAACATCTGCTGAAGACGATGACGTGATATGATGAAAAGCTCCAGATACAGGTGCTCAACAGACATCTTGATGAAACGTGGTTATATATATAAGTACAATATAGCAATGTATATAGTATTGAATTGAAGTATACTTTAATTTAAATAATACATTCAAAAATATGAAAAGTCATATTTATGATTCAATTTTGTTTTGGTACCTAACCAACTTCACATCTCATTTTTAACTAAAATCATTTTTTGTTTAAGAGAGGAGGAGTTCACTTTTTGACATATTTTCTTCTAAATTTTAAGATTCCTTTTGTGTCTCAAGCTGATGCCTCATATTGGGCTATGGTGCATGCTCTGCTGTGACAGCACCGCTTCTGTTATATGTTTTTCTTCATGTGTACCAACTGTGCAAAGCTGTGAGAACAACTTTCCCCCTGGGGGAAAATAAAAGTATTGTATTCTATTTATATCTGTTTCTATTGTACCCAAACAAGGAGTGGAGAGGACTGTAACTAATACATTGTCAACATGAGCATACTTACACCAGCCGATGAAAAGGAAGACCCACTTTCTGAGCTTATCAGTGGAGTAAGTCATTACAATCGCCGTGTGGAGGTAACATCCTTCAACAAACATCCAGAAGAAGTTCGTCACTACAAAGTAGTTGTATATTGTTGTGATTAATCGGCACCAGGGCTGTGAGAGTAAACACAAGACTCACAGTTACTTTTCATCATTAGATTTTTTTTTTTTTATAGCAGAGAGATTTCCAGTGGCTTTATTTATAACGCAGCGTACACACTGAATGGTGTTACCTCGTTGCTCTCGTGGATATTGTGGTCAATAAGCTGAAGCAGAAACCACATCACATTCCTCAGGATGAAGGTGGTGATTAGGTTCCAGTGGATGATGTTTCGGAGACATCGTATGCTCCTATACCAAGAGGTCAAAGGTAAAGGAAACAGGGAAAATATCTGGTTCATTGGTTATTGGCCAATCATGTCATTGCAAAAGGAGGCTCCAGTCCAATAGAAGTTCCTAGGTGTCCTACTCATGGATGTATTTATCATTATCACTGAGACATTCCCATTCAGAGGAAAACTTAAAATAGTGATGTCATTCATGTTAAAACTGTAAGGAGCAGATGTCTAGGCGTCTAATCACATTGGGCATTTGAGATGATGGGGTTTGCATCCGTGGAAGGTTAAAGACAAACTGACTCTTAAAATATAATCAAATTTGACTCAGTTATAACAAGTGGAAACAGAAAATGGATTTATTTTGATGCATCTTGAGGTTTAAAGCCTCCCACGAGGGCCCCCGTCATAAAAAAAAAGTAGAGATGAATCACTTCCACTGTTCACGCCTTGGAGAGATATGTTAAGATGATGGTCAATTTTTCTTATCCTGCCAAGAATAACCTTTTCCTGGGAAACACTAAAATGTAGATTGTGCCTTCAAATCTAAAGAGATTTAATAGCACAAAATATTGACTTTTTTTCATTTCTTTAACCCAAAAAAAAATCAATATCTGCCTTCGGAGGTCCACATCGATCAAACCATTGTGCACAACTCAGCTGAGGCTGTTAGGTATCAGCCCTGTTCTGTCATAGCAGATGTAGGTGTTTGTGTGTTCAAACCAGGACATGAAAATAGGTACGGAGAAAAAGGAGTGTTATGAAATGCATATTATGTCCGCAGTGTTCATGCTGAGTCGAGGCTGTGGAGATCTATTCCTTTGACATAAGCGAGTTAACGAAAGCAGTCAGAGGATATTACGTGAATTTGGCTGATTGTCTTCTGTGAGGTCTCATGCATGCAGGACACATTTAGACGGGGAGACTATTTCTGTACTTGCCTTAAGCACAAGAAGAGAATGAAGGCCACGACTAGAGCTCCCACAGAGATACAGTGGCCTAAGTAGTTGATGATGAGTGCTATTTTATAATGCATCGGATATTTTCTCTGCAAAGAAAAGACAAGAATTATACTTCAGAACAGAACATACAGAGAAAGGTTTAGGAATACTTATGGACCAATACATAAATAGAACCCTGGTAAAGCTATCTTTATAGCGTGGTCTGGGTGAATACTCAGTAGGGCTGGGGAATAAGGCCAACAGATAAAATCTTAGATTTTTTAAAACACAATAAATGACAAAGAAAAAAGTACACAAACTCAAATTCCCTTTGAGGATTAAAAAAAATATAAATGTATCTTTTGGGGTAAAAGTGCAAACTTGTCTTTAAAAGTGCACTATGCGGGTTTCAGCCAGGCTACAGCAAAAGTACAGATGAGACAAAACAACTTTAGCAACACACTTCCAGATACTCTGGTTGTAGTGGTTGTTTGACCAACAGTTTGTTTTTTTAACAGCATATCTGCTCTGTTTTGTATGACGGAGGATTAGGGCCACGTTAAAAAAAAAAAAAAAATTAAATTTTGAGATTAAACTCCTAAATTTACGAGTTTAATCTCATAAATCAACGAGTTCGAGACCGGTCTGCGTGAAAATGATGAAAGTAGAACTATTAAAGTCTTTAAAGAATAAAAGAATAAAGTCGTTATTTTAGTCTATATCAGAAGAGCAAATGACAAACATGCATCGTCTTGTCCTAAAGGTTTCACTAATAAGGAAATAGGCTACTTCCTTGTGTAGTCGGTAAAAACAGTTAGTTCAAGAGAAGTTTTCACTTCAATTTGCAAGACCTTGTTTATCTGTAAAATGATGTATGACTTTAATCTCGTAAATTTACAAGTTTAATCTAGTAAATTTACGACTTTATTCTCGTAAATTTACGACTTTAATCTTGTAAATTTACGACTTTAATCTCGAAATTAAAAAAAATTTAAAAAATTGAACCTGGCCCTAATCCTCTGTCGTAGTTTTGGACTAACTGAAGACGGGTTAAAGAGGATTGCGTGATAACAGAGCAGAGGAAGTTACAGTAGTCTAACAAATGGAAAATCAGTGTGTGTGCCAGTAAATCTGTGTTGTGAGTAGATAGCATAGGTTTTGTTTTAGTGATATTTCTCAAATGAAAAAAGCAAGACTGAACAATTTTGGTAATGTGAGCATAGATGTTAGGAAGTAAAGATTTTAGTCAAAGAGAAAACCAAGGGCAGTTAATGTGACTTCCCAGTAGAACCTCAACTGATTAATCTTCTAGCCGATAATATCGGCCAATATTAGCGTATCCAGTGACTATCAGTATCGGCTAATTTTATTGCGGATGTTTGCAGATATTACTAGATTTATTCACCAGTCAGATAGCATTTTATCTGAGGTTCATTGTATTACACTAGCAGTTCTCTTTCTGGCTGTTAACAGCAGAGTGTGTTATATGGATTACAACAAGCATCATCACCCTCCAGAGGGTCAAGCGGTACATGTGCAGTTACAGTGACCATCTTGTCTTTCTTATACTGTATATCTTTTTCCTCAAGTGTTTGGTAACTGCATTTGAGGGATCAACGCAATGAATGTGTTTATCTAAATCTACCTATCTGTAGAGATCAAACAAAGATCTAAGATATAGGCCTATATATTGGTATCAGAAATCAGTATCGGCCCCAAAAACCCATATCGGTCAGACCCTGCTTGCCAGGGGACCAATATGCTGCCTGACCTCTTTTGAATCCCTTACCTATAACAATTCAGGCTTTGTTATTTAAAGGTTTAACCTATGTTAGGGAAAGGACATGTCATTGACACACTACAAATGTCACAGCTTAAAATTGTCAGACAAAATAGAGTAAGGCTTAGAAATACACACAAACAGGAGACATAATGTGAGGTAATCAGGCCAAACCTCATCATATACAATACATCAATCTTACAGTGTGGCCTCAGGCTTCTCTGTCAGGGACACAGACAAGACTGCACTTGTGAATTCAAGGTGTCTGGAAAACAAATGTATGGATGCTTAACCGGCCCTACGTATAAAAATATAAGCATAAAACAATCAAAACTGCATGATTCCTTTGCCACATGTGATTGGTTTTACTTTTTTTGTCATTAGCGTGAAAAAATGAAAAACTGCGACAAGCGTTTATCTAAGACGACTAACAGATTGCCTGCAGGATGAAGGACAGGCAGGAATCCACATTCACCTTCTCCTCCAAAATGGGCTCACAATTGGAGTAATTGCTCTTCAACGCCCACGTCCCATTATCCATGCATTCTCTGTAAGCACTCCCTGCAAGAAAAGAGTAGAGAAAACAATAAAAACACTGTTGCGAACACTCTTTTTGTCTTAAAACGCTGGTTGGACTAAAATATGTCTTCTTCTGTTAGAATCCTCCCATTTGTATTCATATTGCCTCGAGCAGATTCAGTGCAGGCCAGTTGTTTGTTCTGGCAAGGTTAAAGTTATGTGTTTGCCAAAGCAGGTATAAGCTAAAAAAAAAAACTCCTTGTAATTTCTTCAAAGCAGGGTTCAAACTTGAGGACTATAGCTCTTTGAATGTGACACAGAATACCAATTCAGCAAAACAAATTTTATTCATAGTTTGGAAACCCGAAAGCCTCTTACTCTGTCACTTTATTTGCATATCTTTTAAAAACCGCTTCCCACAATCAACTTTGAGCTGAATTTTTCATTTGCAGCCCCTCAGCATGCACTCAGCGGGCCTCTTTATCTCGGTTTACACGGGGAAATGTGTGAGGAGAGGGGCGGGAACAGAGCAGTATATAAATTAATTCAGGTTTTTTTTTCTTCTGTTCGGTTATGACCAGATGCTTATAGTGGTTATGTGAACTGATATGCTGCCAAGATACTCGTCATTTGTTTCAGTTTTCTATTATTGGGTATGAAAATTCACATTAATTATGGTTTCACTGCAGACAAAAGCCATGAATGTATACTGAGGAGAAAATCAGTTATGAACAGCTTTGTTAGTTTACCTCAACAAAAACTAGACTCTCTGGTGAAAAACCATTTGCCAAGACCTGCAGTTTGTAACCAAATGATCAAAATGATGTCATAAATATGTTCTTACATTGCTTCAAAAATCGCATAAGTTGAATTTTCCTACATATTTGTTGGTTAAATTACTAAATATGTAGTTTATCAAAATGTTCAGAATATCCATCCATCCTCTATATGGCTTTTCCCGGTGCGGGGGGCTGGAGCCGATCCCAGCTGTCATTGGCTGAGAGGTGAGGTACACCCTGGACTGTTCACTAGTCAACACCAGGGCTGACATACAGAGACAGACAACCAGTCACACTCACATTCACACCTAAGGGAAATTTAGAGTCACCAATTAACCTAACTGTCGGACTGTGGGCGGAAGCCGGAGTACACAGAGAGAACCCACGCATGCACAGGGAGAACAACAGTGCTAACCACTGTTACCACGGTGTGCAGCCTAGAACTTTTTCCCATTGAGAATGTGTTCTTTTGATTCATCTCACATGTGGGTAATCTACTTAATTTATTTGTCCCTACACTTTTTGTAAACACCAAAACAACGTGACGTGAGTAAACCATCCACCTCGGAAACACCTACAGCGGCGCATTAAGCAGTGGCATTAGCAAAGCTCCTCTGCATTAGACTACATGTTACATAACGTGACATTTGTATCCGGAGAGCAGAGAGAAGAAAACAAGTCTGGAAGCTAGAAAGAGAGATGCACACAGACACAGACTCATAATATCCGTTCGCTTGACACTTGCTTTATTGTGACTTCACAAGGCTTTGTGCTGTTCATGAAGAGAAATCCCAATTCTCAGCTGTTTTTTCTCAGTGGTTTATCAAAGTCCGTTAAATCACTAAAGCTCTAGAATGAGCGGGACTTGTTTTCCCAGAGACACAGTCAAACAGTCAATTACAATACACTCTGAAACACACTGTGCCTGTTTGTTTGACTGTGCGTAAACTGCCTGAACATGTTCATTGATCAGCTGCCATGTGGCATTAACAGTTCTCTTGCAGTCAATGCAGCCATGATGTGACAGCTATGTCTACTGATTGGTTTGAACATGAAATTGAGTAAATCATTTTACAGCGAATATTATTGTTTAGATGCAGTAATAACAAAATCTGTAAACTACAAAATCGTGCCAGATGACATGAGTTTGGAGATATTATGAGTTAAACCAAATGACAGTAAAATGACCATGATCATTATAGAGTAGGTCATGTAGTTTCAAAGTTCATTCTGCTGTTAAATTTGATTTCTATTTTAAGGTATTGTGCCCACATGTACTATAGGCTAGTACAAAAAAAAACAACAACACATATTTCAGACTGCACATTACATATTAGTTGTATTTAAATTGACACTTTCTATTTAGGTTAAAATGGTTAAAATGTTTTGTTTACTTGCACTGTTGTTAATTTACTCCTCTGTGTGCCTTTGAATTGCCCACCGGGGACAAATAAAGTTTTTTTGAATTGAATTGAATTGAATTACTTTACCTGTGTACAGACTTTCATCTGCGGCTTATGATGTTGGAAACACATTGCTTTTAAATATCTTTATACTGTTTTTAAATACAACTTTATTTACTCAGCTTTGTCATGTCTACTTCTCTGTTGGCCCATTAAGATAAATACAATTTAAAAAAGTTGTATATGTACTTGTACTTTTACAAAAAAAAAGAAGCTGATTCTAAATATGAATCCAAAAAAACTCCATAGTATGTTAGGGTTTCTTTAAGAGGAGAACACAAACTGCTTAAAAAGGAACAGCAAGGCTGCTGAAACTTTTTCAAATGGAGTCTGGGTAAAAAGTTACCTTAGTTGACAATGTATTGACATTGTAAGCAGCTATGTTCACAATATGAACATAACATCTGCAATAGTTTCCTCTATTGTTGCTAAATCTTTACGAATGCTTTATGTTAGTTGAATGCCATGCAGATGATGTGAGAATTCTATCAAGGGAAACAACTTGTTACATTAAATATTACCTGTAAGATCCAAACCTCAATAAACAAAAAGGCTTATGAAGAATAAATGCTCAGGATCATTATGGTAAAGATTACATCCAAAGAAAGTTAATCATGTGCACTAAATAGAAAGAATCATAAAGAAACAGGTTCAGAGGTGCAGATCCAACATGGATGAACAGGTTTTCTTTAAATGGTTATCTTTGATTTTGTGTAATATCCCTTTATTGCAGTTGATCCTTAGTGTCCCATAATTCAGAGAGTTGTGATGATTTCTATCTACTGAGACATAGCACAGGGAGGATTAAAGAAGCCGAGCCAAAATAGATGCAGGAGCCACCTGAGCACCCCATGTCTCTGCAGTGCATCTCTCTGTGTGAGGTAGATGAGATTACAGGTTGACTGCTGCAGGAAGAAAAGGATTTCCTGAGGAGTACTGTGTGCAGCATGATGGTACTATAATCTACTGCTGAAAGGGGTTCCTGCAAATAGCCACTACATCCTATAGACAGGGTCCATGATGGTCATCAGTAGAATTGGGTAACAATTAAACCACTACTGAGTATTGATTCATTGGCACCCAGTGTTTTTTTCCCCTGAGTGTGCATATTTAGAGGTAGTTTAGAGTTTAGAGATAAAGACAAGGAGTGAGACGATGTTCATCATGTGGCTTGTTCAAGTCGCAGTAAATAAAGCCATATCTCCTTTCTCAGAGGCAGCAGACTCGTTTTAGAACAGAATGCCATTAATCAGGTCTAGGTAAAATGCTTAATATGTTCCTATATTTATTCCTTATCTATACATAGATAGTCTCAATGAGAGCCAATATTTCCATTTGTTATCAACCACGAGTAATATCGCCTAAATAATCTGGGGGAAAGGCTAAATGTAGCTCTAGCGAAAGTTCAGACAGGAAGACTATATTTTGCACACTCGTTTTATTGTTTATTCTCATACCATGTCAAATCACTCCTCCACGCATGCTCACTCATTCCTTCTCGTAATCATCACCTGGTCGCATCTATCCAATAGCACTGCTCCACTCCCTCATTGTTAGCCTATCACATTGCTGCTGTCTCTTTTGAAAATGGCTTTCTCTTCCACTAGTTCATTCATGCCATCGTAACGAGCGACCCTTCACCTCCCCATCGCCACCAAGCCTTCGCAGTTTCATCACCTCCTTCATCCCATCAGCCTCTGATGACATCATCAGCCATCGTCCGGTCAACCCCAGCCTTCGCAGTTTGCCTCTGATGACGTCATTAACCATCTCCTCATCAACTCTAGTCTTCACAGTTCAATCAACTTCTTCATCGCATCAACCCGGATGACATCATCCGCTAACACCTCCACCACCAGTGTCTGGACTCTAGGGGGGATAAGATCTTGTTGCCACTCAGGGCAGACAGCTTCAATCACCCTGTCTCCCTGTAGAGTTCAAGCGCCAAAGATTCTCTGACAATCATTCTATGTCACATATGTAAAATAAACCTTTCATCTTTCAATCATTTACTTGTCTCTCCTGATTGAACGCCACTTTTTTAAAATTTTGTAAATATTCAACTTTAGTTTCTAATATTTAACCAGATATGACAAAACAGGGGCCCCTGTGATTGAGCGGTTAGTTTGCACACCCTATTTGTACAGAGGCTGTTGTCTTTGAAGCAGGCGGCCAGGGTTCGAATCTGACCTGTGGCTCTTTTCCAGCATGTCATTCCCCACTCTCTCTCTCTCTCTCTCTCTCTCTCTCCTCGATTTCCAGACTCTATCCACTGTGCTGTCTTTCCAATAAAGCATAAAAAGCACTCGCTCATATCTTTTTACGTTAAGATCAGTTACCGGTTCAGATCATTTCATCTTTGGGGAAATCATGGAGAAAGAGGTGCAGAGTAAACATGTCAGAGAGCACAGAGGCCATAGTTGGCCCTCATCAATTGTTTACTTGGGGGTCTGTCCGTCTCTCTCTGTCTCTCTTTCTGTCAGTATGAAGTTCTTCTAACACCCCCACCTTTTGAAGTGCTGGTCACAGAACCCACTTTTGCCGTGTCAGAAATGCTGGCATTGAACCATCAGACATATGCAGATTTCTCTCAAACATTTCTTCTTTTGAAGTTTTCAGATGGCCTTTCAGCAATTTCTACCTTGGGCATCAGCTCAGTTCATGACGCATGCTTATATATATATAAATAAATACATAAATATATATAAATATAAATTTATATACAGTCAGTACATGCAAGTCTTTATTCCCATTCTCAGATAAAAGGAATGCTAGAGCCCCTTATCTCTGAGGG